CTTAGGTCGTGAGTTGACTTGGCTGCGCTGTGGCTTCTGATGGGCGATAGCCTCCTGTGAGGGGAACCATTGAATACGTTTGTGTCACTTTTCTCTTGTGAGTACATTACCATTTTTTAAAAGTAAATTATTAAACAATCCTTCACATGGAGTGGGCGCTCTCCTTTTTTTCCATTCTATAGATGTTAAGACCTTGTGGAGCTGCCCCAGAGTGATTAGGTGGAATCAATTGAGGAGGGCTTGCTGTGATTCATTTGCACTGGGAAGATTTTGAATTTACAGTTGTAGTAATAATCTGCAGGACACTGTTGAAGCATTAAACTGCTGGGCAATGTTGTAGTAATCCTGAAGTGATCCAGCGCCACCTTCACAGAATAATTGGGCACCCTGGGCTATCCGCAAATATTAACAAAGGCTCTGCACATACCACTGGCTGGCCTTGCCCCTCGATTGCTCTTCCGTGTTTGGCTCTACCACCGCATTGCAACAAGGCGGGACTTGCCGGGGGTCACGTGATTGGGCTGCTCAGTCTTAAATGCTCAGGCTTATTTTTTGTCCTAGTCTGGGCCTGCCCCAAGTCATACATTTTTTAAATCACTGGACTGGTAGATTAAAAAGATGGTGCTACTAATTTTGTAGGCCCCACAACAGTTTTAAAAATATTTATCAAATCAATATTTTTGATAAAAATACACTAAAATAATTATTAGCACACACAAAAAAAGATAATTTACAAGACTGCTTCTAAATCTAAAAGATAAAGAACTAAGGAATGCAAAACTGTAAATAAGCAGCTTATGCTTAAGATGTGGAGGTTGGCCTCACACTTATGTGTTGTGGTCAGGGCAGCCATCAGAAACTTTGGGGCCCCTTACACAGCTTTAGGCCTGGGACCCCTGCCCGCCCACCAACCCACCATAGGCCTGTCCACTCGCTGTTCCACGGAGTCCCCCACTGACCCTCCCACCAAGTGCTTCAGTGCACCCACTTTTATTTTAACACCCTGCCAACCTAATATATAAAATCAGTGCATTCAATATTTGAGAGTAAGGTAATATATTTTGGCCAAAAAATATGTTGAGTGGGACTGCACTAAATAACACAAACTGCACTCCCTTTCACTAACCGCACTCCCCTTGCACAAACATCAGCTGCACTACCTATTCACTAACACTCACTGCCCCTCATCTATCCCCTAGCACATCTAAGAAAAAAAACTGGGCTGTGCAGGCTCTCAGGTGGGCTGCGGACTCTGTACAGGCTCTCAGGTGGACTGCAGGCTCTGAGGTGGACTGCAGGCTCTGTGCGGGGGCTCTCAAGTGGACTGTGGGAACTGTGTGGGGGTTCTAAGGTGGACTGTGGGCTCTGCAGGCTCTCCCTCCCCAACCCCATCATCGGGCTGGTAAAACACTTGCCTTACCACTCAAGCGACTCTACTCCACTCCCTGATCGCTCTTTGGTGAATCCCGCTACAGACCAAACTCTGCCTCCTGAAAAAAACCCTTCCTTCATGTACAGGAAGGTACCAACTTACAGGGGGGTGGGGAGCCATATCAACTGCTGTACTGCACTTATTACCAACAGCAAAAACAGTGAGGGACCTAACAAAGGGCCAAGGTGCAAGATTGCAAGAGGGGGGGGGGGGACAGATCTGGTGGCCTCTGCACCAGAGGAGCTTACACTCTAATGTCCCCCCACAGTCTCACACTTTTATACATGTATATAGCTCTGACATATACCACAGTGCTGTACAGAGCACAGCTCAGATTCAGCCATTCTTCATTTCTTAAATAAAATTCGCACCTAATCTAACTGATGCCCAACTTCACAACCTCAATACGCCCATCACATCACATGAAATACAAAACGCTAATAAAACATTGCCTACCAATAAAGCGCCCGGGCCGGATGGTTTCACTAGCGAATACTACCAAGGCTTTGCTCATATCCTCTTACCCTACCTAACACAGGTGTGCGAAAAGGCCTCCACCTCTGCTTTTTTCCCCCCTGAAATGTTAACTGCTACAATTGTGACAATACCAAAGCCGGGAAGGAATACCAAAACTTTTGCCCCATCTCGCTTTTGAACACGGACTTAAAGCTATATGCAAAGATTTTAGCGAATAGAATAAATGTAGCTCTCCCCTTTTTGGTCATCCGGACCAATCGGGTTTTATTAAGGGGAGGGGCGCGCCTGATGCCACCCGTCGCGTTCTCAATATAATACATCATGCCCGAAGCTCCAGGACACCCTCTCTGCTTCTTGCTTTAGACGCGGAGAAAGCTTTTGATAGGGTGCACTGGGGCTATATGCAACATGTCCTATATAAGTTTGGCTTCTCAGGCTCGATAATATCCGCCATTATGGCACTATATTCGGCACCCTCTGCTCAAGTGTTCACATCAGATGCTGTATCTAAACCCTTTACTATAACCAATGGCACTAGGCAAGGATGTCCTCTTACCCCCTTGATCTTCAACCTTACCATAGAACCCCTAGCAGAGACTATTAGATCCCATGTTCAGATCTCAGGGTTCCAATTCCATCAACAACCACACAAGATCAGCTTATTTGCGGATGATATCCTGCTACTCCTTTCAAATCCGGAAACTTCCCTGGCTGCGGTATCTACAGTATTAGAATCCTTTAGCGCAGTATCATACTACAAAACCAATAACTCAAAATCTCAAATTCTAGACTTGGATCTTCCGACTGCCAGTAGGATGATTTTACAGTCTCAATTGCCATACCAATGAAACCTCACAGGCATCTCATATCTAGGTACTACGCTAACAAACTCTATCTCCATGATATATGCCCATAATTATATACCCTTCCTAGCCCACCTACAAACCCTATTAAATAACCTTCGTAGAGACACCCTGTCTTGGTCTGCAAAGTTGGCCACCTTTAAAATGATAGCGCTACCTCAAATTCTTTATCTATATAGAACTTTGGCGATCCCCATTCCCAAAAGCTACTTTAAGTCTCTTCATAGTATTATAAGTAAGTTTATTTGGCAGCGAACAAAACCAAGATGCTCCTTATCAATTTTGCGGAAACACAGACGAGTAGGGGGGATGGGATACCCAGACTTGAAAGACTACTATCTGGCCACGCTGTTGGACCAACTGAAAGCATGGTTAAACCCACAACACTCTAAACCTTGGTGCAAAGTGGAAGCCTAATTTCTCCCTCGAGGTAATACCTCCATCTACCTACTGTGCGACTTAATACCGACGACTATGATGGCCCAAATGTCACCCATGACCAAAGCAATCTTAGAGGCGCCACGCCTTCTTTGCACCAAATCAGAACACGATGAAACGCATCGTAATGTCACCATTCCCATAGAGGCCCTAGAAATATTAATCCCTGAAACCAGATTGAGGGCTTGGACTCTAAAAGGTATTATTTCCCTCCATGATTTATATACGGGCCCCAAGTTGAAAACATTTCCCGCACTCCAAACGGAATTTCAATTGCCAGTTGGAGATGCGTATTTATATTGCCAAATTTCACATTCTCTCCGTAATTTTACTTACAACTCATGTGAAATCCCTAACGCCGCCTGGAATTATTTCTTCACACGGCAATCAGGTCCCAAGGGTATATCCCTATTTTATAACCTACTCCACAATAAACTACAATTTACTAAATTTCGGTCCCTCCAAAAATGGGAAGACGAGTTCGCTACCACCTTTTCGCCGCAACAATGGATGAGGGCTTTTGCCTCCACCCACAAGGCGATCAAATGTGTCGATCTTTGGGCGCTCGCCCATAAAATCACCCTTCACTGGTATTTCACCCCGGCAAGATTAAATAGAATATACCCAACTTCAACAACGACATGTTGGAGGAATTGCGGCCAAATAGGCAACCTATACCATATATTATGGAAGTGTAAAAGCCTTACGAGCTTCTGGAAACAGGTATTTAGACAAATTTCACTGGTAACAGGTATTTTGACACCCCCAGAACCTGCATTAGGCCTACTGTCGGTGGGAATGGAAAAATTCCCCTCTACCTATGGAGCTCTCATCTCCCACATACTACTGGCAGCCAGACTGACAATTGTACGTCACTGGAAAAGCATAAATTCTCAGAATATTTCAGAAACATTATCCATTATTAATCTTCACTACACCTATGAGAAATGTATGTCATTTAGAGATGGTTCTCACTAAAAGTTTTGTAATACATGGACATTCTGGCACAACTGATCGGTAAGCTATTGCATCACCAATTAATGTGTGTTAATCTGTTATGAGATACCCCCCCATTGGGTGGTATACTGCTGTCCTTGCTCATGGCTCCTTTTTCTACCTTTCTACTTTTCTTCCCTTCCTCGTTACTCTCCATCCCTGTCCCCTTCCCCCTTCCTATTACCCACTTTGCTTCTCCTTCTCTTTTGGGCACAATGTTCGTGTGTGATAAAAACATACTGTGTTATGTACACGTTTTTTTTAATCTGACTGTGTAATATCGTACACCTGTTCTGTTTTCTTATAATTTTATATGAACCCAACTAAAATTTGTAAAACCCAATAAATATCTATTGAAAAAAAAAATAGACTCTGAAAAATTTCCCTTTTGAGATAAGAAAAAAAAGAGATTGGGGACACAGACTCCTCAATCTCTTTTTCTACAGCTCCAGCACTCAATGAACAGGGAGCACTCAGTATAGAGGCTTCCTGTTCATTCACAAACTGAGAAGGCATAGTACTCTCTCCAGGTATAAATAGACATGAAGCCTCTGTACTGAGCAGCTCCTGTTCATTCATAAATTGTGCACATACAGTAGTACGTTTTTACTATGTCCCCAATCATGAATGAACAGGAAATGTTGTAAACATTTTTTTAACAGGCAAAATAGTCACAGATTTATTATGAAGTTAACCAATGCATACTAAAACCGTTAAATTTGCCAGGGCAATCACGTTTAAATGGCCCCTGATCGTGAATGAGTTAAATACAGGTTGGACAAAGTTGCACTCACCTTTTCTTTTCCAAGAGCTTTAAGGTGCTCCACAATCTGGCAAATAAGTGTGTCACACAATTTTCCAATATCTGCTAGGAATTTTGCATCCCCTCCATAGAGGTTATCGTTGGAGTCAACTAAAGGTGGAAACAGATTAAAATGATTTTTACATGGCAAAGTTGTATAGGCAGATATAGTTCCTGTTTGCATTATCTGTTAATTAACTTTTAAATCATGTAAAGAATATTTTGCACAGTGCTAAATATTCAAACTCCTAGCAATGTGTAAAATACATACGTGTTAAAAAATAAAAAACATAATAATTTGCTGTATACCAACAAATCACTGCACTAACAAATCTCCGGTCCTCATCCTGATGATCGTTCAGCCTCTTGAATACTCACTTAGGCTCCGGTGGATGTCTGGTGCCGGGTGACATGCCCTCCAGGTCTAGTAAGCGCACAGACACCCTGTAACAAGGCCGAAGGAAGTCTCAGCGTGCGGCCGCTTGTTCGTCTGCCACCATCTTGCCTTCTTCCCCTGCTGTCTGCGTGTGCTCTTGCTCAGCCCGTATTATAGAGGGGAAAGCCGCAGATGCCGTGGATATCCCTCTAGACCCGCTTGACACTCCATTGACCTCAGGTACTGGGACAAAAACTATCCTGGAACCCTGGAAGAGGGCTGTAAAATAGCTCTCACAGCAAAAATAGATAATCTTGTTGTGGAATGTACATTGATCAGGCATGATCTGGATAAGATCAGGGGAAGACTCTCCCAGGCAGAGACACGGGTGTCTGGGGTGGAGGATTCTGTACAGGATCATGCTACATTTATTCAGGACCTGCAACACACAGTCAGGACCCTGGCGGCAAAGGTGGATGACTCAGAAAACAGGATGCGGAGAAACAATGTACACATTGTAGGCTTGCCTGAAGGAGCAGAGGGCCCACAGCCTGCTCCCTTTGCCGAGGCCTGCTTCAAAACCATACTAGCCCTGGAAGAGTTACTCCCCACCTTTGTGGTTGAAAGGGCCCATAGGGTTCCCACTGGTAGATCGGTCCCGGGGGCTCCTCCACGACCATTTCTGGTATGCCTCCTTAATTATCGGGATCTGGATAGTGTTGGCGGCAGCCAGAAAATATCCTGACCTTCGCCATGAGAATGCCTCGGTTCGCCTCTTCCCTGATTTCTCGGCTGAGATTCAGAAATGGAGGAGATCCTTTGTGGATGTGAGACGCCGTCTTCGAGAGAAGGGCATTCAATACAACATGCTGTATCCCAGCAGGCTTCGGGTACCCAACTGTGGCACGGTCCGCATGTTTGATGCCCCTACATCCGCCAATGAGTGGCTGGATTCGCTGGGATGAACGATTCCTTATGTTGCTGCCTTGTTTTTGGGGTTTTTCTATATTTTCTTTTTTTCCCTTAACCATCTACTTTACGGAATGGTCTGCGGAGACCTGTTATGGTGACCGAAGATCCTGGATCTTTTATACTGTTGGTCTTGCCTTTTCTTTCCTGTGATTGGCTGCCTATGGTGTTGTAGACAAGCTCTGATCCCTATCTCCTGCACATCCCGCTAGACCTAGACATGACTTCCCTATATCTGAATGGATATTGTCCTATAGTGCGGAGACAATTCCTAGCTCCCTCGACACTTGGAAATGTACACTGAATTTTTGTTGTTCTTTTTATTGCTTTTTCTTTTTTGAAAGTACATGCTTTTTTCTGTGCGAGCCTCTGTTCAGGTGGTGCGTCCCTGACTATTCTTTTTGGGGTTTTGGGCTTACACTTCCTGGGACAATGTTGATGTTATGTTTATTATGTTTCCTTGGGAAGAGGGGTTGTTTTGTTCCTATTTGGCCATGGGGGGCTGTGTGTCATCCTGGATCCCACCTGCAGCCAATGCAGGAGCTGTCTCCATCTACATGTGTCATATGGTATCACGGTTTGGATGACATCACGGTGGTTTCCTGGAATGTACAGGGTTTAAATAATACGTTTAAGAGGTCCTTGATGTGTAATTATTTGAAACAACTTTGACCACATATTGTTCTGTTGACTCACTTGGATGGGAGTAGGGTGTTGGCTCTGGGGTGCCCCTGGATACAGCGGGCGATGCATGCCACTTACTCTGCGTATTCCCGGGGTGCCTCGGTGCTAATCAGTAAATCCCTTCCATGCACCATTCTGCATACAATCACAGACCCTGGCGGTAGATTTGTCATTGTGGTTCTCGATATCCAAGCCACTCAGTTGGCTGTGGTCAGTGTATATCTACCTCCACCATTTCATGTACAGGTTTTATATGCTATCCTTGATAACCTTGCACCCCACCATCCTCTGCCGGTACTTATCGCTGGGGACTTTAATAACATTCTTGTCCCTTCTCTGGCCCAGCTAGACCCCCGGGTATTGACCTGCAATCCTGGGCTGAGACGGCTATGGTGGAGGAGCCTGTGGAGGTGGAAGCACCCTGTTGTCAGGACATGTTCTCATTTGTCTCATACTCATGGCTCCTCGGCTCGGATAGACATGGCATTTGGCAATTAGCCTATGCTGGGTATGATATCTGGTGCTTCTTACCTGGGTATGATATCTGGGATGCTTTTAAAGCTCATACCCGGGGGGAGTATATCTTAGGCATAAAGGCTGTCTATCGGGAGCACTGTGCTGACCTAGCATTATTACGATGGACGAGGAGGCTGCTAGTTCGGCGGCTTATGCAGATTCACCAAGGGAGTCCACCTTGGCTGCCCTTAAACAAGCCAGGCGTTCCATCCACCTCCACCATGTGGGGCTTACCCAGTGCTCCTTGCGGCAGTCTAGGGAAGCCCTGTTTGAATGGAGGGACAAAACAGTAAGCTTTTGGCAATGTTGGTAGCAGAACAAAGGTCACAAACGAACATACCTACCATTTTAACTGACAGTGGGGCTAGAGTTATGAACTCCTCTCTTATTTTACAGGAGTTCCTCACCTACTATAAGTCCCTCTACTCAAGTATTCCTAAATATGACTTAGGCTCCCTGCAAAACTTATTGGGTGGACTTTCACTACCAATGTTAGAGTGCTCTGACAGGGGCTATTTGGAGGCGTCCATTATGGTGCTGGAGGTGCAGTCGGCAATTGCCTCCTTCCCTAATGAAAAGTCCCCTGGGTCGGATAGCTTTCCTGCAGTGGTATAAGAAGTATGTTGATTCCTTTGCCCCCTGGATCAGGGACGTATATCTGGATTGTCTGGAATTGGGAATCCTTCCTGATTCTTTCAAGGAGGCCCATGTCGTCTTGCTGCCTAAGTCTGGTAAGGACCATCTCCTATGCTCCTCGTACAGACCTATCACTTTATTAAATATGGATCTAAAAATACTGACTAAAGTGCTAGCAACCCGCCTCTCCAGGGTCCTTGGATCCTTGGCTGATACAGACCAAACCGGGTTTATACCTGGCAAGTCCACAGACACTAATTTGAGCAGATTGTTTAGCAATCTCCAGCTCACCCATGATAATACAGGCTTTAGAGCCTTGGTCTCATTGGATGTGGCCAAGGCTTTTGACTCTGTCAATTGGGGGTACATGTGGGAGGTGCTCAGATTGATGGGATTTGGCCCTCAGGTCAGAAGGTGGATTAGTCTCCTATCTGACGCCCCTAGGGCAGTTCTTAAGATTGTATCTCTCCTGTCTGAGGCCTTCGTGATGGAGAGGAACTCGTCAGGGTTGTCCCTTGTCCCTGGGTCTGTTTGCACTAGTGATGGAACCCTTGGCAATAGCCTCTCATTCCTCGCAGGAGATATCTGGTCTTAAAATAGGGGGTATAGAGGAGCGACTGGCGCTATATGCTGATGACCTTATCTTATTTCTGGATGCCGGTCCGTCACTACGGGCAGCCCTGAGTGTTTTATACACCTTCGCTACCTTCTCAGGCTTGAGGGTCAATTGGTCTAAGTCCCATATAGTGCCCCTGGACCCACAGACTAAATCCTTAGCAGATTCCTCTCTCCCGCTACAATGGGTAGACACAATCACCTATTTAGGAGTCCATGTAACTAAATCGGTTAGGGATTTTTATTCCCTTAACCTTCTCCCTCTACTTTCTAAACTTAAGCTGCATCTGGAGTCCTGGAAACATCTTCCCCTATCACTTCGCCGATCACTATCGCCAGCGCAAGGTTAGCCTCATTAAAATAAAAATTCTGCCCATTTTTTAATATTTTCTTAGGAATTCTCCTGTATGG